GCTGTGGCTCAAGTGGTAGAGCACTAGCCTTGAGCTGAAGAGCTGAGGGACAGCGCCCAGGCCCAGAGTTCTAGCCTCACCACGGGACCCAAAAAAAAAAAGCACAGGACCAGGTATCAGTGGTTTATACCTATAAGCCTAGCTACTCGGGAATCTGACATTTGAGGACCAACAGGAAAGTCCATGAGACTCTTTATTTCCAGTTAACTACCAAAAAAGCTGGAAGTCGAGCTGTGGCTAGCCTTGAACAAAGAAGCTCAGAACAGCACCCAGGCTCCAAGTTCAGGCCCTGAGTTCAAGTTCTAGAACCTAGCACACACAAAAAAAGGCATCATTGTCATGTCATTTCCATACACTGTACTTTGTCTTACAGATCTGTCTGAGGCAAACATAAAAATTACCTATCTCACTAGGCATGATGGTGCACAACTGTAATCCCATCACTTGGGATGCTGAGGCAGGAAAATTGCAAGTTTGAGGCCAGACTGAGCTATATAGTGAGAGATCCTGGCTCAAAAAAGAAAAAAATTGGGCTGGGAAGGTGGCTCAGTGGTAGAGTGCTTGCCTCGCATGCACGAAGCCCTGGGTTCGATTCCTCAGCACCACATAAGCAGAAAAAGCCAGAAGTGGCGCTGTGGCTCCAGTGGTATAGCACTAGCCTTGAGCTGAAGAGCTGAGGGACAGTGCCCAGGCCCAGAGTTCAGGCCCCATGACTGGCAAAAAAAGAAAAAGAAATTCTATCTGGAGTCAAAAGCCTTTGAGGAGTCATTAGTAACCTCTACATCATTTGTTCTAGGAAGAGTTGGAAGAACATTTTTGTATTCACAAGAACAGAAGGATGAAGCTGCCTTTTACTTTGATGCTGATTCACTTGCTTTTGACATGGGAAATGAGCCTGTTACCACCGTGCACCAACCCACCAAACGAGTAGAATTGACTCCACAAGACGTGAAAGATGCCCACTGGTTTTATGATACCCCTGGAATTACAAAAGAAAATTGTGTATGTATTTAGCTTCTTTTAGAAACATTTTTTCCTGTCAACTGCAGAAACACCTATTGGCAGAAAGCAAAGAAGTATACTTCCATTGTAGCTTCAGTTATGATGCATTCATAAAAGCAGTTCAGGGATGAATCCATATACCCATAATTTTTGTATTCATTTGATACACTTCACTGCAGGCTAGTCTACTTGTGTATAGTTGTTACCTTAGAAAGACCTTTACAGTATCTTTGAGTTCAAGTTTTGAAGAAATGGTATCACTGAAGTCTAGTTTCCTATTCTATACTGAATTTCTTGTTTTTTGTTTTTGTTTTTTTTGGTTGTAGGGCTTGAACTCTGAGCCTGGGTGCTGTCCCTCAGCTCTTCAGCTCAAACCTAGTGCTCTACCACTTGAGCCACAGCACCACTTCCGCTTTTCTGGTGGTTAATTGGAGCTAAGAGTCTCATGGACTTTCCTGCCTGGGCTGGCTTTGAACCGCGATCCTCGGATCTCAGCATCCTGAGTAGCTAGGATTACAGGCGTGAGCCACCGGTGCCAGGCTTATACTGAATTTCTTTCCAAGCATCTCCATCATAAAGTCATCTAGCTTGAACTAAAAGAGTGACTTACTAACTGGAACAACGTCACATGACCTCCCAAAGTATCCCATTTGGTCTTCCTAGTCGTATTGCACTCATTTCTCTCTAACTGATATTTGTTCTTGAAAATTATATGAAAGGGCTGGGAAGGTGGCTCAGTGGTAGAGTGCTTGCCTTGCATGCATGAGGCGCTGGGTTTGATTCCTCAGTACCACATAAGCAGAAAAAGCTGGAAGTGGTACATGGTGCTGTGGCTCAAGTGGTAGAGTAGTAGCCTTGAGCTGAAGAGCTGAGGACAGCATCTGGGCCCAGAGTTCAAGCCTAGGACTGGAAAAAAAAAAAATCCTGTATGAAAAGGACATAGAACCTATTTGTCTTGGCCAGACCTCAAACTGTTTTAGACCTCAAAATATTTTAAAGTATATCAGGTAAGTATAATTTAGAATAGGATCAATTCCTTCTTGCCTTATGCATCTTTTCAGTTCAGTTGCAAGATCTCATAGATAACCAATTTTGTCTTGTAAAATTTAGCCTGTATCCTCTTGTTATATACTTATTAAGTCTCATACCTTCATATTTGCAGTTTGGATTTTTACCCAAGGCATTGATTGACTCAAGTGTGTTTATTATTGCCCTCAAGAATAACTGTTGGTGCTCTATCTTTCTCCTTAGCTATCTATAAATACAGAGTGACTAGCTGCTTTCTAATGTCTTATCACTACTTCACCAGTTAAATCATCCCCTTCATTTAGTCAGAGATAGCAATTACTTTACTCTTGAGAAATAGTTGGGTCAGAAAGGCAAAAGTGGAAAATTTATTCTAGCCAGAAAAATGATACTTACAAGTGTGAGGATATAAAATGTCTCTCATGGCCTAGGGATGCTTCTCTGTGACAGAATATGTTCCCAGCACATGTACAGTTGCCCTGGGTTACAGCCCTAAACACTAAGGAAAAAGAGTTCCTCATCATAGATAATATACTTCTGTGTCGCTGCGGATATATTTATTTGATGCCTAGAACAGTATCTCCCAAATGGAACCAACAAACTATTATAAAATGGAAGCATTAGATGTTTCAGTTTTAAATAAGTGAGTCAGACAGGAGTGAATCACACCTGTAATCTTGTCTACTCAGGAGGCTGAGATCTGAGGATTGAAGATTTGAAACCAGCCCAGGCAGGAAAATCTATGAAAGTCTTATCTCTAGTTAACCACCAAAAAGCTGGAGATGGAGCTGTGACATAAGTGTTAGAGTGCCATCATTGAGTGAAAAAGCTAAAGCACAGAACCTACGCCCTGAATTCAAGTCCAATACTGGCATCAAAAAGAAAGAAAGGGAGCCAGATGCTGGTGGCTCACACCTGTAATCCTAGCTGAGATTTGGAGGATTGCAATTCAAAGCCAGGCTGGGCAGGAAAGTCCATGAGACTGTTGAGTTAACCACCAGAAAACCAGAAGTGGTTCTGTAGCTCCAGAATGTTAGAGCCAGGCCTTCAGTTCAAACCCTATGACATACAAAAACAAAGAAACAGGAAGCTAGATATGACACTATTGTCAGAAAGAAAAAATATTTGCATCCTTTTATATATAAGTTGAGTATCCCTCATCTGAAATGCCTGGGAGCAAAGTGTCTGTTTTAGGTGTTTGGGGGTTTTGTTTTGTTGCAGTGCTAGAGAATGAACCTAGCTTCTTTTTTCTTGTTTTATGTTTTTTTTTAATCAGTCATGGGGCTTGAACTCGGCCTGGGCATGTCCCTCAGCTCTTCAGCCCAAGGCTAGCAGTCTACTACTTGAGCTGCAGGGCCACTTACGGTTTTCTGGTGGTTTATTGGAGATAAGAGTCTCATGGATTTTTGCTGCCAAGGCTGGCTTTGAACCACGATCCTCAGATCTCAGCCTCCTGAGTAGCTAGGATTACAGGCATGAGCCATTGGCACCCGGCTGTCCCTTTTTGAGCCATAGCTCTACTTCTGGCTTTTTTTATTTCTGGTTAATTGGAGATAAGAGTCTCACGAACTTTCTTTCCCAGGCTGGCTTCATACCATGATTCTCATATCTCAGCCTCCTAAATAGCTAGGATTACAGGTGTGAGCCACAGTGCTTTTTCATTTTTAGCCAGATTTTTTTTTCCCCTTATATCTTACCCAAGCTTTGTAATTCTTCTCTTTCTTTTCTTCTTTTTGTTTTGTTTTGTTTTTGGGTCCAGTTGTGGGGCCTGAACTCTGGGCCTGGGCACTGTCCCTCAGCTCTTCAGCTCAAGGCTAGCGCTCTACCACTTGAGCCACAGTGCCACTTCCGGCTTTTTTCTTTTTGCTTATGTGGTGCTGAGGGATCGAACCCAGGGCCTCATGCATTCAAGGCAAGCGCTCTACCACTGAGCCACCTTCCCGGCCACTCTTTCTTTTCTTCTTGCTCCAGTCTCTTTAAAAACTTCATCCTTGGGGCTGGGAAGGTGGCTCAGTGGTAGAGTGCTTGCCCTGCATGCATGAGGCCCTGGATTCGATTCCTCAGCACCACATAAGCAGAAAAAGCTGGAAGTGGTGCTGTGGCTCAAGTGGTAGAACACTAGCCTTGAGCTGAAGAGCTGAGGGACAGTGCCCAGGCTTAGAGTTCAGGCACCATGACTAGCAAAAAAAAAACAAAAAACTTCATCCTTGACCCAGCGTCAGTGACTCATGCCTGTATCCTAGCTGCTCAAGAGGCTGTGATCTGAAGTTCACACTTCAAAGCTAGTCTGGGCAGGAAAGTTTGTGAGATTCTTTTTTCCAGTTAACCACCAGAAAACCAGAATTGTAGTTCAAGTGCTAGCCTTGAGCTGAAGAACTGAGGATAGCGCCCAGGCCCAGAGTTCAAGCCCCATGACCAACCAAAAAAAAAAAAGAAAAGAAAAGAATCCTTGGGCTGCAAACATGGCTCAAGTGACAGTGTCTGTCTAACAAGTTCAAGGCCTAAATTCAAACTCCTTCCCCATGGAGTTGGAGACATGGCTCAGATGGTATAGCACCAGCCAGTGAACAAAAGCATTAGATACTGCATCCAAGTCCTTCCTAAGGGTGGAGGAGGAATTTTTTTGCCTACAAGCTAAAGAATTCAAAACTTTCTAAGAATAACTTTTCCTATGTTTGTTCTTCTAATTAAATTTTTATTATCTAAAGATAATTAAAGGAGTTGCCCTTCAACAAATCACTTTATAAGTATAGTGCATCTTAATCTTAATCAATACCACCCCTTTCATCACTCTCCTTTTATTCCTAACCCAACCTATCTTTTATGTATTTTGTGGTTGGATTTTGTTCATTCAGGTTTTGTTTGGTTGAATATTCTGGAGGAATAAGAATACTAGAGTCAGAATTTAGAAGAGGGTTCAAATATTGACCTGCTCCTTCAATAGAGTGACCATTTTGTATGTGATGGCCCATACTTGAGCACTAAAATATGAGATCACAGATTCCATTACTTGAAGCTGCAGACTACTTCCCTGATACCCAGCAGCCATGTATTCTCACTCTTTTAAAATTCACGCCAGTTTTAACATGATACAGCTACCACAGGAAAGTCTTATACAACTATGAAGTTGGCCACTACTTCATGCATGAAGAAACAATAGTAAATTGGGTTAATTTAGACAGAACATATAAATTTTACGTGAGGCTGACAGAAATTGGTTATTTGTGAAACCTAGAATACTTTCTTCATCACTATTTTCCAAGGAAATAACAAAATTTTCAGTAAGATATTCTCTAATAAAATAATGTCATTTGCTTCACAGATTTTAAATCTACTATCAGAAAAAGAGATAGACATTGTTTTGCCAACACATTCTATTGTTCCAAGAACTTTTGTGCTTAAACCAGGAATGGTCCTGTTTCTGGGTGCTATAGGCCGCATTGATTTCCTGCAGGTAAGAAAAATCTGTACCATTAAAAAGTGATTAAGGGGCTGAGAATGTGGCTTAATGGTAGTGTGCTTGCCTAGCATGCATGAAGCCCTAGTACCACATAAAGAGAAGAAGCCAAAAGTGGTGCTGTGGCTCAGTGGTAAATTACTAGCCTTGAGCAAAAGAAGCTCAAGGGCAGTGCCCGGCCCTTAGTTCAAGTCCCAGCACTGGGGGAAAAAAAAAAGTTCAGCCAGGCACTAGTGGCTCACACCTGTAATCCTAGCTACTCAGGAGGCTGAGATCTGAGAATCAAGGTTCAAACCAGTCCAGGCAGGAAAGTCCATGAGACTCTTCACTAAACCACCAGAAAACAGGAAATGGCACTGTGGCTCAAGTGGTAGAGTGCTAGCCTTGAGCTGAAATGCTCGGGGACAGCACGCAGGCCCAGAGTTCAAGTTCCATGACTATCAACAAAATAAAAAGTTTGGGCTGGGAAGGTGGCTCAGTGGTAGAGTGCTTGCCTTGCATGCATGAGGCTCTGGGTTCCATTCCTCAGCACCACACAAGCAGAAAAAGCCAGAAGTGGTGCTGTGGCTCAAGTGGTAGAGTGCTAGCCTTGAGCTGAAGAGCTGAGGACAGCGCCCAGGCCCAGAGTTCCGGCCCCATAACCGACCAAAAAAAAAAAAAAAAGTACATAAATTTTTTTTCATTTTTAGAAAAATAACCTCAATATGTAGCCTAGACTGGCCTCAAACATGATCCTCCTGCCTCTGCCGCCACAATAATGGAGTAATAGGCTGTACTACATTCATCACTTGTTAATATTTTAAACCTAACTTTACACAAAGCCACTTAAAAGTCTTAATAATAGATGTTCTTAATAATAGATGTACTCGGGGCTGGGAAGGTGGCCCAGTGGTAGAGCGCATGCCTTGCATGCCAGAGGCCCTGGGTTTGATTCCTCAGCACCACATAAGAAAAAAAGAAAAAAGCCAGAAGTGGCGCTGTGGCTCAAGTGGTAGAGCGCTAGCCTTGAGCTGAAGAGCTGAGGGATAGTGCCCAGGCCCAGAGTTCAGGCCCCATGACCAGACCCAAAAAAACAAACAAACAAAATAATAGATGTACTCTTTGTTGTTATTTTGTTCTTTTAGTAGCACATGCTGGCCTCAGACATGTTCCATTTAGCCTCCAGAATGCTGGAATTATAATTATGAATCACCATGCCCATTTGCTTTGAGATTTTTTTTTTTTTTTGTCTGTCATGGGGCTTGAACTCTGGCCTTAGGCACTGTTCCTGCGCTCTTCAGCTCAAGGCGAGCTCTCTACCACTTGAGCCACAGCGCCACTTCCGGTTTTCTAGTGTTTATTGGAGATAAGAGTCTCATGGACTTTCCTGCCCGGGCTGGCTCTGAACTGAGATCCTCAGATCTCAGCCTCCTGAGTAGCTAGGATTGCGGGAGTGCGCCACCAGCACCCGGCTTGGATTTTTTTTTTTTAGTACCAAGAAGTCACAGAAATGACACTGAGGTTCAAGTGGTAGAGCATTAACCTGTAGAACAAAGAGGGTCAGGGACAGCACCCAGGTCCTGAGTTCAACCTCCAGGACCAGCAAAAAAAAAAAAAAAATCCCTCAAGAAGTCTGGAGCCATCACAGTTTTAGAGTTTAATGAATTATTAAAATTAACTACTTCTGTATCATGCCCTATTTTTTAGACATGAACATAGTTTGACAATAGCTGCGGCCAAGCAGTACTTACAAAGAAAGCTTGATTTGGTTTCTCACTTTTTATTATTGTACCTTAAATTGTATGGGTTTTCCAGGTTTTCTTCTGTAATATGTTCTTCTTTCTTAAGGGAAATCAGTCTGCTTGGTTTACAGTTGTGGCGTCCAATTACCTCCCGGTGCATATTACTTCCTTGGACAAGGCAGATGCTATATATAAGAAGCATGCAGGTTATACATTACTCCAGGTAAGATAGCAGGACTTGATGATTGCATGGTTCTAGTGGATATGCTTGTGATAGTCTCTTTGCCCTGCCTGTGTTATAAATCAATCAGCTAGCCCAACCTCATCTCGCTCTCTTTAAGGATGCTGGCTATAAAACAAAATAGGCTCTATAGGAAAGGAATGTTGGTTTGGACTGATCCAAGAAATGCTAGAGTTTTATCTAAACTATCCTGTCCAATATAGTAGGCACTCGCCAGGTATCTTATGACATATCTAAATTTAAGTACGCTAGTTATAATTAAGTGAAATTTAAGATGTGATTCCTCAGTTACATTAGCAACTTTTCAAAAGCTCATCATTGCAGAAAGTTTTATTAACTATTGCTGTATGAAGAGAAGGTACAGATTTGTTGCAGCTGGAGAATGCCCCTAGCATCTAGTTGGTGAGATCCACAGATGCTAAATCTGTAATGGGCTGGAGAAGCCCTCACAACAATAACCTGGTTGAGAAAATGGAAAAAGCTTCATAGAAAAGCTTTCCTAACACAGGAACATTTGTCAAAAACAGAAATTCAGCTGAGTGCTCATGGCTCACACCTGTAATCCTAGTTACTTACAAGGCTGAGATCTAAGGATGTTGGTTCAAAGCCAGCCCAGGCAGGAATGTCCATGAGACTTTAATCTCCAATAAACCACCAGAAAACCAGACGTGGCACTGTGGCTCAAGTGGTCGAGCACCAGCCTTGAGCTGAAGAGCCCAGGGACAGCTCCCAAGACCCACGACTGACCAAAAAAAAAAAAAGTAGAAGTCAGATCTTGTGTTATTTATGGTCTTTGATTTGTAGAGGGAATTTAACTGTCCTATATGTAAAGCCCAGTTGAGGACTATAAAGCACACTTATCCTGTCAGCAGATGATTGCCAAGTCCATCTCAACATGTGGTCCTTGGCCAGCACATTACAGAGCTCCCATACTCTTCCCAAAAGATGCATGCTTTTTTGTTGTTGTTGTTGTTGTTTGTTGGGTTGTTTTGTTTTTGGCCATGGGGCTTGAACTCAGAGCCTGGGTGCTGTCCCTGAACACTTTTGCTCAAGGCTAGTGGTCTACCACTTTGAGCCATGGGGCTGCTTCCAGTTTTCTGATGGTTAATTGGTGATGAGTCTCACAAACTTTCCTTCCTGGGCTGGCTTTGAACTGCGATCCTCGACTTCAGCCTCCTGAGTAGCTAGGATTTGTAGGCATGAGCCACCAACACCCTGCTAAAATGAATTTAAAAGCATTTTAATCCGGGAGCTAGTGGCTCACGCCGTAATCCTAGCTGCTCAGGAGGCTGAGATCTGAGAATCACGCTTCAAAGCCAGCCCGTGCAGTAAAGTCCATGATACTCTTATCACCAATTAACCACCAGAAAAACTGAAAGTGGCGAACATGCAAACATCTCCATTTTATTTCACTGGAAGGTTCCAATGGGTGGAGAAGAACGAATGGCTGAATTTCCTCCTCTTGTTGCTGAAGACATTACATTAAAAGAAGGACTTGGTGAATCTGAAGCAGTGGCTGACATCAAATTTTCCTCTGCAGGTAATTTTAAATTTGGTTTTGGAAATAAACTATATAGCCCAGGATGACCTCAAACTAGAGACCTCCTAGCTGACCTAGTGTTGAGATTAGAGGGGTGCATCATCCATGCCTAGCTTAATTTGCTTTGTTGTTTTGTTTTGTTTTTGTCAGTCATGGGGCTTGAACTCAGCCTGGGCACTGTCCCTCAGCTCTTCAGCTCAAGGCTAGTGCTCTACCACTTGTGCTACAATGCCACTTCCGGTTTTCTGGTGGTTTATTGGAGAGTTTCACGGACTTTCCTGCCCGGGCTGGCTTTGAACCGCAATCCTCAGATCTCAGCCTCCTGAGTAGCTAGGATTATAGGCGCGAGCCACCAGTACTGGGCCTTAATTTGCTTTTTAAAAAATAAGATTACAGGTTGCGGGGTATGGGTGGCACAGGAATGAACAGAGGAGGGATGAGCAAATGTAGTCACATTTATATTCAATGTACACTGTACAAAAAATGAACTATGTAAAGAGGGTAGGGATGAGAGGCGAAAATGTAGAACAAAGGAAGGAGTGACATTGACCAGGAAGCATTGTACTCATAACCTGACTTACAGGATTATAACCACTTCATACAACTACTCAATAATGGTAATTTTTTTTGGGGGGGAGAGGGGATCCAGTCGTGGGGCCTGAATTCTGGGCCTGGGCGCTGTCCTCAGCTCTTCAGCTCAAGGCTAGCGCTCTACCACTTGAGCCACAGCACCACTTCTGGCTTTTTTTCTTTTTGTTTATGTGGTGCTAAGGAATCGAACCCAGGGCCTCATGCATGCAAGGCAAGCGCTCTACCACTGAGCCACCTTCCCAGCAATAATGGTAATTTTTTTTAAAGGGAGATTATAGCTGGGCACTGGTTGCTCATACCTGTAATTCTAGCTATTCAGAAGGTTGAGATCCAACAATCAAGGCTCAAAGTCAGGCCAGGCAGGTGAAACTCCTTAACTCCAAATAACTCCAAAAAAAAAAAAAAGCAACAAGTGGAGCTGTAGCTCAAGTAGTAGGTCACTAACCCTGAGCAAAAATTTCAGACAGTGCCAGGCCTCGAGTTCAAGCCCCAGGGCACACACGCGCGCGTGCGCACGCGCACACACACACACACACACACACACACACGATTATTGAACACTGGTGGCTCATGCCTAAAATCTTAACTATTCAGGAGAATGAGATCTGAGGATCCCGGCTCAAAGTTAGCCCAGGCAGGAAAGTCAAGTCCATAGGATTCTTATCTCCAATCAACCAAAAAGCTCAAAGTGGAGGCATGGCTCAAGTGGTAAAGTAGCCAGCCAAGAGCAAAAATGCTTCTCGAGAGTGTGAGGAGCCGGGTGCTGGTGGCTCTCCCCTGTAATCCTCGCTACTCAGGGGGCTGAGATCTGAGGATCACAGTTCAAAGTCAGCTTGGGCAGGAAAGTCCAAGAAACTCTTTTATTTCGAATAAACCATCAGAAAACCTGAAGTTGGCGCCGTGACTCAAATGGTCGAGCACTAGCCTTGAGCTGAAGAGCTGAGGGACAGCACCCAGGCCCAGAGTTCAAGCCCCACGACCGACAAAAAAAAAGTGTGAGGTTCTAGGTGTAAGCCCCAGTATCTGCAGAAGGAAGAAAGGAAGTAAAGGAAAAAGGGAAGGATGGGGAGAAAAGAGAAAAGTGAAAAATGTGTAATAGTCTTAATTCATTGCTGTATTTTGAGGTTTGATGTTTATAGCAAACTAGTGGCTAACAGCATTTTGTTCTCTGTCGGATACTTCCCAGGCTGGGTTGCAGTGACACCTCATTTTGAAGACAGACTGCATCTCCGGGTCTACACACCTCAAGGAACAGTCCTGACAGTCCGACCCCCTCTCTTGCCATATATTGTTAACATCAAAGGACACCGCATTAAGAGAAGTGTGGCCTACAAAACCAAGAGGCCTCCTTCCCTTCTATACAACCTGCAGAAAAAGAAAAAGTGACAGATGTCGGAGGTTATATTCAGAATATGTTGATATTGAAATTGTACTAATAATATAGCCAAGGTGGGAACCAGGACAATTGTTTTGTTTTTGATTTTTTTGGTCATTCATGATGCTTGACCTCAGGACCTAGGTGCTGTCCCTGAGCTCTTTTGCTCAAGACTGGTGCTATATCACTTAGAGCTACAGCTCCACGTCTAGATTTCTGGTGAATAGGAGATAGCAGTCTCGCAGACATTCCTACCCAGGCTGGCTTTGAACAGTGATCCTCAGCTCTCATCCTCCTGAGTAGTTAGGATTACAAGTGTGAGCCACCAAGTGCCCAGCCATTTGTCTTTTTTAAAACTATTCAGATTCAGCGCCGATTGTTCCTACCCCAGACCACCACGCCGTGTGTGTGTGTGTGTGTGTGTGTGTGTGCGCGCGCGCGCATGTGTGTGCGCATGTGTGTGTGCGCGCGTGTGTGTGTGCGCGTGTGTGTGTGCTCGCGCCTATTGCTATTGATAGTGGATTGGGCTTATATTACTTTTTGTATGACCTAAATCTACATTAGAAGGGAGGCCTTACTATATTCAAATTTTAATTGAGACTAGATGCCATTTTTCTTGGAATCTATAGTTGACAGGATAGTTGAGTAGCTGGCATATGAAACCTAGCAGGGACTCTTTTGGCAAAGTACACTAGCTGTGCTGCATATAGTCACCCAGATATCAATGGGAAACCCACCATGGCTTCTCTACATCAAGTTGTCATCCTTTTCTAGCAAGAATGTACAGAACAGGCTGGAAGCTGACGGCTCACACCTGTTGTAAACCTAGCTACTCAGGAGGCTGAGATCTAAGGATTGCAGTTCAAAGCCAGCCCAGGCAGGAAAGTCCATGAGACTTTTTTATCTCCAATTAACCACAAGGAAACTGGGAAGTGGTGCTGTGGCTCAAGTGATAGAGCACTAGCCTTAAGCTGAATTGCTGAGGGACAGTTCCCAGGCTCAGAGTTCAAGCCCTCACAACTCACAAAAAAAAAAGATTGTACAGAACAGTGTGGAGAGTAGCAAAAAAGCTCAGCAAGATAGAGGCCCTGAGTTTAAAAGTTCTGGTACACACAGAAAAAATACATTTTAAATATCTGGCATATTTTATACCCAGTAACAATGCCAGTAGCAACTGTCCAGTCCCATCAGTCACATACAATTGAAGCCTAATCCCAACCGGACATTCTCAATGCAACTGTAGAGGGCAGTAGCTTCCCAGTTTAAGAAAACTGACAGCAGAACAAAATACTTTTTTGCTGGTTCTGTGCCTTGAACTCTGTGCCTGGTGCCTTCTCTGAGCTTCTTTTACTCAAGGCCAAAACTCTACCACTTGAGCCACTGCTCTATTTTCAGCTTTTTAATATTTGAGAGAAGTCTCATAAACTAGCTTTGAACCATAATTCTCAGATTCTCCTGAGTCCCTAGGATTACAGAAGCAAGTCACCAATGCCCAGAATTTTTTTTTGGGGGGGTGGGGGTAGGAGGGGCAGTCCTGAGTCTTGAACTCAGGGCCTACCTACTGTACCTGAGCTTCTTTTGCTCAAAGCTAGCACTCTACCACCTGAGCCACATTGCCACTTTTGGCCTTTTCTGTTTACGTGGAATCAAACCCAGTGCTTCATGCATGCTAAGGGAGCACTCTACCACTAAGCCATATTCCCAGCCTAGTACTACTTTTATGTATAAAAATAGGCTGTGAAGAATGCTTACAATACTAAACACAAGGACTGGTAATGTGGCTCAGTGGTAGAGCGCTTGTCTTGCATGCATGAGGTCCTGGGTTCGATTCTTCAGCACCGCATAAGCAGAAAAGGCCAGAAGTGGCACTATGGCTCGAGTGGTAGAACACTAGCCTTGAGCTTAAGAGGTGAGGGACAGTGCCCAGGCCCAGAGTTCAGGCCCCATGACTGGCAAAAACAAAAAACAATACTAAACACAAGGAAGATGCTTAGTTGAGTACTTCTGCTAGGATCTGGTACTCATTTACTCTATATTCCTCCTATTTCAACCCAGCACCATTGCTGGGCTATTCAAGTGTTCCATGCAGATTTTGCTCTTAAGATAGTTGTTACTGTTTTTAAGCTATAGTCAGTTTCTGGTTCTTCTTAGTCTGTTCATCTGAGTCTGAAGACTTCTCTTTTATCAGTAGTCATTTAACATCAGGGTGCAGGAGTTCAAGTCTGGCCAGATAAGGAGTAAATAATGACAAGGTATTGACAACCTTCTCACATGGAGGAAAAAAAAAAAATTGGTTGAGCAGCTAGAAACCAACTAACCAAGTTTATATCCAGTTGTTTACCTTGCTCTGCATTCCATGTTAATCATGTCACCTGTGTTTTGACTCTAGAAAAACTAAAATGTGCCATCAAAAATTTGATTCCTATGGAATTTTAGCAATTTTGCTTTGAAAAGTTAGACCCAATCTCTCTGCTTTTTTCTCTTGGAGTAAGGGTCTTAAATCTTATTCACCAGGGCTGGGGAAGGTGGCTCAGTGGTAGAGCGCTTGCCTTGCATGCATGAGGCCCTGGGTTCGATTCCTCAGCATCGCATAAGCAACAAGAAAAAGCCGGAAGTGGCGCTGTGGCTCAAGTGGTAGAGCACTAGCCTTGAGCTGAAGAGCTGAGGGACAGTGCCCAGGCCCAGAGTTCAGGCCCCACAAAAAAAAAAAAAAAACAATTAAGTCTTATTCACCCTATCAAGCATTGACAATTACCCATACCTTACCTATGGAATCTAAATTTGTCATCCTGTGACCAAGTGGGGCAGTCTGTGTGCCTGTTTCCTGAGCTCAAATGTTTCTCCTAAAATCAGCTGGTTTCCTGAAGATGACTCACCTGGGCCTGGGTTGTTCACAGATTAGGCACCCAGTGCTCAAGCTGAGGAAGGCTGTGGCATAGAGTCTCTGATCATTTACCCTGGATTCCCTCCCACTTGGCTCCAAATTGTGGAGCAATGGAATCATTTCCATTCTTTCTTAGGATGTTCCATTTTCTCTTGGCTGCTTTCCTCCTCTTTTTTTTTTTTTTCTCTTAACTGTCAAAGCACAGTGCTTTAAACATGAAAAACAATTTGAGACTCCTCTGAATCAAATAGCACCTAGAACTTCTGCCTTTTTTGGGGGTAGGGGAAAGAAAGGGTGCCATTGGGCTTGAACTAAAGAAATGGGCATTGTCCCTGAACTCTACCACTTTGTGCCACAGCTCCACTTCCAGTTTTCTGGTAGTTAATTGGAAGTAAGAGTCTCATGGACTTTCCTGCCTGCACTAGCTCAGAACCAGGATCTTGAGATCTCAGCCTGAGTAGCTAGGGTTACAGGTATAAAACACCAGTGCCAGCTCTACCTGCTTTTTTATGTCTTTCCTTTATGCTTTGTACCCCTGCTCAATGCCCTGTTGTGAGAGTGGGATGTTTCGCGATTACCTTTGTAATCTATTGGAACATAACCTCAACTTTTCCCTTCATGTCCAAAAGCACTTTCATTCATTGCCAGCCTGCACCAAAACAAAATATTACTCCCCTCCTCTTAGTAAAAGAATTTCATGATCTAAATATTAACCTATATGAGATCCATAATATCTCTAATTGCTAATCCTGTTTCTAAAAAGCTTCCTTTAACTTCCCAAATAATTTTCAGAACTTACTTTCTGGGTAATGTGCCTTGTGGAAGAATTTTACTTCAGTAGTCTTATTGGAAGATGCAACAGCATGATACTCAATCGTATGGTCTTACCTCTAGCCAGTGGCTATGGCAAATCTGAGAAAACATGGGAAGAAGCTGGGTGTGCTACAGAACACATAAGCATGCTGGGGATTTTGGAAGTACAAGGCTATCAAGATCCCTAAGTACCAGAAAAATAGGTATTCAATGAGTGAGTTGGTAGAGTGAAGGGATGCTTGATTTTAGGTAGTTTTTTACTTCTGTGGAAAATAAGACTTAATTTTACTTCATTATATTGACACTAACCTCTTGCAGGATTTCTTCCTTTCCTGCATCAAGGCAGTCCTTCATGGCAGTAGTATTTTAGGTTTCTTACATTTTTTTGGGGGGGGGGTCCCGTCGTGGGGCCTGAACTCTGGGCCTGAGCGCTGTCCCTCAGCTCTTCAGCTCAAAGCTAGCGCTCTACCACTTGAGCCACAACACCACTTCCAGCTTTTTTCTTTTTGCTTATGTGGTGCTGAGGAATCGAACCCAGGGCCTCAGGCATACAAGGCAAGCGCTCTACCACTGAGCCACCTTCCCAGCCCTCTTACAGTTTCTATACTCATCAAAACCTACTTCTTTGTATCTATAGATAAATAGGTAGCTATAGGTATCTATTAATGTAAATGTGTTTTTTTTTTTTTTCCAGACAGGGTCTTGCACAGCTGGCCTCAAACTCACAATCTTACTGCTTCAGCCTCCTGAGTTCTGGGATTACAGGCATGTACCACTCTACCCAGCTACATTCTTTATTATATAACAGCACATACAATCCAGGCAACTGCCTTACATATATTCAGAGTTCTTACAACCACAGAAAATATTGTTACTAATAGATACCTGCAGTTAGATAAGGAAATAGAAGCACAAGCAACTTGCCCAGTATCACAATGAGCAATGGAATTGATTCCAGAAAACCCAGGAAGTCTAGCTTAGTAACCATGTGGAGTAGTCGTACTTATATAGGAAAACATACTTTCCCTTTTATGTACAGTTGTATTTTAACATGTTATATATAATTAAGATACAACAAAGTCCTACCAGTAAAACTACTATACAAAATACTGCCCTGTTTAAATTTTCTAATTACTACACATTTGCCAAGGGATTCTTCTAACTCCATAGATGTATAGTGGTAAACAAGTTCATCCCTTCCACTATACTCCCATACCACAGCTCCCACAATACTTTCTGTATATACTAAAATCTTAAGTCAGAATATAACATTGCAACCAATGATGGAACCACAAACAAATCTACTTCAAGCCTCCAAAGCACAAAATTCTCTCAAAAAAGGGATGTTTTTGGTGGGGGAAGTGTTGAG